GGACTTCTCATGCGTCTAGCATGAACGAAATATTGAGTACAGGGTATATCGCAGCCTATTGAGCACTTTTTCTCTCAGCACAGACGCCTCCTAATCGTCCTCGGAATGCCAGCCAAGGAGGTTTATGGAAGTCCGAGAAGAAATTCCATGTACTGATAGACACGTTCACTCAGGCACGCACTCACTACAAAGAGCTGAGCAAACCGATGACTGCTCTGACTGTCGTCCACGGACCTGGTGGTTGTTGCCAAGTAATACAAATATGAACCGTAAGATAAAGGTCGAAGCGCTTATCTCCTATGAGTGGTATGGGGTGCATGACTCGAGGAGTGTGCCGGTGACAAGACTGATGTATTCGCGTGAACCACGGAGAGACGAAGTTCCTGTGAAATATTTAAGAGGAGTTAGTCACATATCAGGCTTACGATAAGGTTGCAGATGAATTCTAAGTTGATTTTTTTGATAGAAACAGAGGCGCAAGGGAACAGGGCATGTGCAATGGCGATCAGGAACTGTCGGAAGGGCATCGAATATTGAAGTACAGCTGGGTGGGAACGGGCCCGTGAATGCATGCGACCGTTTTTTCAATGTACAGGTGCACTATGATTGAAACTGACAACGTCTTATTGCATTCTAGTAAGCAGAATAAAAACAAATATTGGTGAGACGAAGTGTTCGATCCTGGAGGAGTCCAGTTCTGGAACGCGTCGGAGTTCGAATTCAGCTCTTTACATATGATAGGCGTAGCCTTGTCACTACTAGGAGTGCCCCAATCGACTCGTTATCGACTAACGGCTCTCGAACGAGCTATGCTTGAAATCCACTTCGCAACTGGTGACTGTCATCTCTAGAACCTATATTACAAACAATGAGAACGCACTGGCAGAAAAGAACGCACAGGCATCCGAGTTGCCCTTACACCCGCAGGAAGCCTTCAAATAATAAAAAAGGCTCATGCAATGAAACAACGATGATGATATTCTCGTGAGCGCTGGCCAGCTGAGTATCAACTGCTGGCAGTCAGAGATGAAAAAGTAACGGTCAACTCGGGCTGCCCAATGTGCGGCACACCTCAGGACTCAGGCTTACTACCGTCTGTTTTCCACAATCAACGAGGTGTGTATCCAATAAAGATAAAGAACTGTATTCTTTCAAAGTGAAAGTAGGTGATGATATCATCATGTGCCCCGGTCTGGGTTCATCCAGCTGGAGTTGTTTGATGGTATATTCATCATATATCAATCACAGAATCTCACGTCTCTGGTGAAACCTGCCACCGCACCAACTCCACGATACAAATCAAATATTCCGCACTCACCATTTCTGGCATCCAGATGATACGGTAGCCCAATTTCCGAGGTGGAGAGCGAGAGGGTGCTCATGAAGCAACAGATGACCTAAGGGTGAGATGAGACATTGAGACGTATGCTCGCTGGGAGGTATTGGTACCCAGAGTAGAATGCGAATTTGCTTCTTCATGCGAATCTCCCTATTTTTGACGGCTGACTTCTCAGGTCCGGTGTCATGCCGCAGCTACATCGAGAGATTCACCTCTCACTGTCTCAAACTCGCCATCACGTCCGCAACCTGGCATCAAGCAGCAGATGCTCGACTCCTGCACTATCGCTGGTGCTGATGCCTGCATGTTCGTTCCTGGGTGCGTCGCTGTCACCATTTTGAACCATGTCGTCTATTTATGTTTGGTGTGCGATTTCCAGACGTTCAAGTTAGCCCCCTGGATTGCTTCACACTCGCCTGACTCCACAGAGGCGCTGTGTCTCAGTGAAAGAATCATGTTTTTCATATCAAAATGCTTGAAAGGGTACGTGAATCCCCCAGTAGTGCTTCAGCAACGATCCTAAACATATTTATATTTATATTCGTATCCGTATTTCCATCTCGTCGAACGAAAGTGAAAGGCAAGCTCGTCCACAAGCATTAACCAACTTCAGCCTCAAAACTCAAAACTCATCCCTCACGTCATCAAATTACACATGTACGAACGTGCTTCGCGCACCTTGTAATCACCTTGAATGGATCATCATCTGTAAGCCAGTTGGTGTGAGTTAGGTGAGAAAGCAAGGGTGGGACATTGAATGAGGCGAGAAAATGAATCGAGGATGAATTGCTGAGGAACTGAAGCAGTGCGCCGTCACTCTCACGCGCTGCCCGAGCAATCATGTGAATGATTGTTATCACACAGAGAAAAGGACGAGTGGTTGGTGCAGGTATGGGTGGGCAGCTCGTACCAGTATATAGAGATATTGAAGATATTGATTAAAATATAAACATTGTCAGCACGTATAGTAAATCACTTGATTAAATAATATGACGAAAATCTCCTTGGAATCTACTTTGGGATACCAAATAATACCAGAAAGTGGGAATTAATAAAAACAAATTATCCTACTCCTTGCAGAGCACTAGATGACTGTGAACTTCACCGAGTATCAGACGCCACTGCCAGTCAATATATGCACACGTTCCTGAAGAGCGATCGAGGTCATAACAGTCGCTGCGTCGGCATGGGCAATGAGCTTAGCGTGGTATTCTCGAATGCCAAGGATCAGGCGCGGTCCCAGCACAACAATCTGCATGGCCTGCAAAATCTGAACAAAGCCAAGAATAATCTGAGTGTACAGGGAATCCTATAGAAACGATAAATTGTAGTAGCGTGCATAGGTAAGTGAAAGATTGACATACCGTTACTAAGGAAGTAGCGAACATGATGCAAGAAATAACAACCAAGCTACCACATCCGATCCTTCAGTGGAAAAACAGGAACCATAATCACGATATGAGCTTACCTCGTAAAGTGAACCGCGTGACTTTTTATCAACACTGTGAAACAGCTCCCTATAATCCCTCCTGCCAAATATTGCCGAAGTTCACGGAAGTGTTTTAGCGCAATCCAGACTGCGAGACATAGCGCGACGACCTCCAACACGATCAACAGTGTCAAAGAAATAGCATACAGGAGTGATAGATCATTCAGGACCACACTCTCAGAGACAAGCATGCACTGATAAGTGCTGGAGAGAATGGGTTCCACTAGTATTCATCAATGAGCTTCAAGCACGTTTGTTTTCATCCACAATTAAGCGTACCCTCTGAAATATGAATCGTCATCAGTACGGTGACTACTCCGTTGAAGATATTGACAGCCAGGAAGATGACAATGAGGAATATCAGGATCTTTCTGGATCGTTGATACATGGCATGCAACCGAGTGATGATGATGACTTGCAGCCATGTTTCAGTCAAGTCAAAATCGCCGAGGTCTCGCAAGTGCCAAGCTCACCCTGCAGCATCGCAACTATCACAGTAACCGTCCAATACCATACTATGGACATCCTAAAGCCTGACAAATCCAATAAGTGACCAGCCTCGGGTAGCACACACTCCAAACAGACTCACATCTGTGACGGATGATAGCATGGCAGTCATTAGTGAACCAATGAGTTAGTAAAGAACCACACCCACTCCTACATGGCATTGCGGTTAATTAAAGCGAATGGCAATTATATGCGTAGAAGACTCACTGTATCTGACAGCAAGATGGTCGGAACAGTCCCTGAATGCCATTGGTCAGAAGAAGCAAATACAACGAATGCACTGAGACATACCTAACATGTACATGCTGATTATAAGAGATAGACAGTTAGTACAACACCGATTGTGTAGCCTTCCGAACATACGCAGCAGATAAGATTCCAAGGTAGCGCGCCTAAAATACTTTCAAGTTAGCACAACATGGCAACAATAACAAATAAGGTACATGCACTGAGATACAGAACTGTCATTAGGGACCAGCGTTGTCTCTGGAATCAAATGTATTTTCGTGTGTTCCTCTGACACCAGACTGTACTCACCCAGATCAGTTCCACCTATAAAACCATTGTCAGCGAGATGGCTGCTCCGGTGATAGCATCGACATACCTCTTGTCCAAACGTAAGTGCTGAAAGTACTTGTGAAATCAGCAGTCCTTGGATATCATCATGCTTACCCAAATCATATGTCACTACAATGAAGGCTGCAACTGCAAGGCAGCAGTAGAGGTTAGATTGAAATATTGGATCCGACTGCTCTCTACGAACCTGTAAAATAGCTAAAAATACGATTTGCATTAATCGTCAGCCACAAAGCCGGATCATCTGGGACTGTAGTCATATTGGTAGAGAATTGGGTGTGGATAAGAAGCAAACTTGGTAGATGAGTATGACAATCATATTCGCACTGTATATGTATACCGCCATCCAGTGCGAAATGAGATAAAGGGGTGGTATCTGTGCAATTCACGTAGATGAGGCAGTTGCATGATCATGACTCAAAGCTGTCGTACCATAAGGATGCTTTATGTAAATGTGTGTGGAAACTTGCAATGTGGTCGACGGCCGGTAATGTTTTGAGTTTTTGTATTCCTTATATAGAAATTTCGGGCATCGTGAAAATGCGACTGCCGTGACCGCTGCATGTGATCCAGACACAGGAATGGCTGCTGGTTCGGATTTTGTGCGGGTACATGTTGAGGGCACTGCATTAGTAGGATAGTAGTAGCTATAAATGTGCTGTATTAAGTTCGCTAGTTTAGAGTCTACGTACGAGTTAGTGTGAGTTGTTGCTACGAGCTATGAGACGACGTACCTCAGCGAAGCTTTGAAACAACCTAATTAGGTCAAAGGATGTAGTATGTCGCTCCAGCCAGGGCCTGCCGCTTGATGAAACGAAACCTCAGTCAGTTCATTATGGGGCCATTCACCAGCCAGGAAATGCGCCAGAATATCGTATTCTTGTGGTTTGAACAGCACAGGACAGTCTTGAAATATCTCAGCTTGCTCAATGCTCGGAGAGGACAGTATACAAGATGTCACATCCCTTGACCTCATTAGTGCCGGTTCCGGCCGACTCGGACTTTTGAAAAACACGTACACTGCAATCTCATATGCAACACGCTGTAAGAGAGAACCGAGGGCGCAGCAACACATCATGGATAACGATAAGTAACTTAAAAACATCATTCCTACCCTTCCTAGACAGAACTTCTCGTGCGTCTAGCATGAACGAAATCTTGATTACAGGGTATATCGCAGCCGTAGCTCTCAGCGTAAGCCCGGTGAAACGGTGCGGTGGCAATAAACCGCGTGAGTTACTTCTTTCTAGGTCAGTGTTGCTGCTTTCAGACATATACCAACACCAGGAATACAAGCATGATAGAGTAGACGTATACAGCCATACTACTCTAGTCTAAATACAACCTCGATTGCGTTACGATGAAATATCCACTCCTACACTTCTCACGTCCCACTGTCGTCTGAATTGTTCTCCCATAGCTTATCCGAATTGTCGTAAGGGGAGTTTCGAAGCGCCATGAGTTGCGAATGTGCTTCCTCCAGTGCTAATCGCAAATCAATATCGGCAGCGCAATTCCTCAAGTAAAGCTCGTAGAATTTGAAATCCCATAGAGTTGGAAATACCTCGGCCAGGAAATATGGTACGCGTGCAACTTCCGACACCCGGGAGTATCCAAGATGCAGGTTGCGTAGGGTGGTTTGCGTAGGCCAAAGCTCCTCGGTCCCATCCGGTGCTCGAGGAATCGTCGTCGGTTGCGTAGCATCGACCGTCAGATGTAAGGTACGCAGCGATCTGCACCTTGACGCCAGTGACATCATGGTGGTGAAGGTGACGCTATAAAAGGCACGTCTCTTCCAGGAGATGAACTTCAATTCCTGAATACTCGGCCAGGCAACTGGGATATCATTGAGGAACCTATCGTCAAGTTCGAAATTTCCAATGCCAATGAATTTAACAGACGACAGCCTCTTGAACTTGAACAATGGCCGGAAGCTTTCGGAGTGGAGTGGGATGACGAGCAGATAATCAGGATGTTCTGATTTGTCGACCACATAGATCCGTTCCAAATCTTCAAAAGTTTGGCATGACGTCGACAAGGATTCCACGAACGCGGTGACTTCGGCCGGGCTGGCAGATCCGCGATAGCTGATATTGATGTGTGATAGTTGTCGGGTGGTGACTTGACGAAGGAAGTGCGTGCACTGTGGCAAGGAACCATCGGAGAGATAGAGGGTTTTGAGACTAGGCAATTCAAGGGGTATACCGCCCGCATCGCAGGAGGTTCCGCACAATTTAAGCTTGAGGCTTTGAAGACATCGTGCTTGCTGGATATTGGCTATTGTCTGCCTCGTCAAAGATACATCGATTCCGAAAATGGCCAGTCTAATCAACTTTGGCAGCTTTCCAAGACTCGGGGGGACTGTCAAAGCCGTGGTACCATTTCCCGCCGATACTGATAATTGGCGCAGGCCATGTGCTTCTGCGGGCAGAGTAGTAAACAATTGCTCTACCTCATGTGTCGGGATGCCAGTTACATCAAACCGGAGCGCTTGCAATCCAGGCGAAATGAACTGCCGAAGTAGCCAGAATTTTGAACTACGCTCCAGAAGACCGAACACGGCCTCTAAATGCAATTCGCAAAGGTTCGGGAAGAGTATGGTAGGGGGGAACTGCTCGAAAAGCCTCTTCAGGACATGACCAATGACAAGTGGCCGGTGACGAGACTGATGTATTCGCGTGAACCACGGAGAGACGAAGTTCCTGTGATATATTGACGAGCAGTTAGTAACATATCAGGCTTGCAGCGAGGTTGTAGATAAATGAGCTCTTTCCATATTTGATAGAAACAGAGGCGCAAGGGAACAGGGCGTGTGCAATGGCGATAGAGAACTGTCGGAAGGGCATTAAATATTGAAGTCCAGCTGGGTGGGAACGGGCCCGTGAATGCATGCGACCGTTTGGTCGCTGTACAGGTGCACTATGATTATGACAACGTCTTATTGCATCCTAGTAGGCAGAATAAAACAAATATTGATGAGACGAAGTGTTCAATCCTGATTCCTGGAGCTAACGTCGGAGTTCGAATTCATATAGGCGTAACTAGCCTTGTCATTATTCGTGCCCAATCAACTCGTTATCGACTATAGGCTCTCGAACGAGTTATGCTTGAAATCCACTTCGCAACTGGTGACCGTCATCTCTAGACTTCACCAAGGATCACACACTACTGCCAGTCGATATATGCACACGCTCCTGGAAGGTGATTGAGGTCATATTAGTCGCTGCGTCGGCATCGGCAACGAGCTTAGCGTGGTATTCTCGAACGCTAAGGATCAGGCGTGGTCCCAGCACAGCAATCTGCATGTTCTCCAAAATTCCCAAAATAATCTGAGGGCTCAGGGAATTGGCCTATAGAAACGATAAATTGTGATAGCGTGCATAGGCAAGTGGAATTGACATACCGTTGGTGATATTGGAGTAAAATTCAGAATAAGTGTCAAGCAAGAAACAGCAACAAAGCTACCACGTCCGATCCTTCAGTGGAAAAACAGAACCATAATCACAACGAGCTTACCTCGTAAAGTGAACCATGTGACTTGTTATCAACACCGTGAAACAGTCCCTTATAATCCCTCCTGCCGAATGTTGTCGCAGTTCACGGAAGTGTTGTACTGCGATCCAGACTGCGAAACATAGTGCGACGACCTCCCACATGGTGGCGAGCATCCAATTATAGAAGTCAGAAGCG